TTCATTCAAAAACATGAAAATTCTTAATGGAGTACCATCATGTCTTATTGAATTCCTAAAAAACAATATTTATAATGAATTTTAATAATTTTTTCGGATTTTTTTTAAGCTTTATTCTGAACGATTCACCCGATTTTTGATCCGGATCGCCGATTCGCCGATCCGAATCAGTTTTTTGGAAACCCGATCCGGATCACCGATCCGTTTTTTAAACCATTGGTTTGAGGTGTAAAGTGGGTTTAAAGTTTAAGTTCCGGTTTTGAAAAGATTACTAGGTCAAGGTCCCTATGGTTTTTAAGGATTCAGGTTTCTTAGAATTCCCTCAGCCCCGAAAAGGTTGTCTGCATTATGTCTTAGACGTACGCTTAAGAGCAAGTTGACTCGACTTGGAACTCCACCCTGCCGCTCGGTTGGACTTCAGACATGTTGAAAATATTAATTAGGCACTCCACATGAAGATATTTGAAATTTTACTTTATTGTGTCTTAAATATTTTTTGGTACAAACTTTGAAATGGGCTGAAATTTCAAACTATTTGGTCCCAATTTTAGTGTACAAAATGTGATTTCATTCGCACCGATCATGTATATGTTGCTGATATCAGTAAATTCAATTGTTTCTTTCGTAAATGTGTTAAGATTCATGATTGGCCGAGATTGGTTAAGGTATTTACTATTACAACCAGTGTTTTTTAAGAAAGAAATTGGGTGCCAATTGCTGATGGGGTTCTTGGCATTAGATGGGCTTTTGTGTGGTCGATCATCAAGTCAGCTCTCCCCTCAAGAATAGCCTCAATGGAAAAAAAAAAAAAAAAAATTAATGAAAATTTTTAAAAAAAACCCAAGTCTGCGTAATGAACTAAACAAACACAATTCCCCTATAAAAGCATCTAGAACTACGAATCGGGCCAGTTTTGAATGGATCAACTTTTTTTGAATCATTGGTTATAACTCTACACCCCGTAAGTTCGAGTACTACCAATATGCCAAAAAACAGTTTAGTACAAGTAAGGTCAAGATTTTTCCTTGGATATTTTTTCAAGGCAAAACTTTAACGGTGGATAATCTGAGAAAAAAGGGAAAATTACGATAAACAATTTGTTTGCTATGCAAAACTGATGAAGAAAATGGGGATCATCTTTTCCTTGCCCCTTTACAAGTAGTCTTTGGAAGTGGATCTTTTATTTGGTAGAACACCCCTGATTCTACCACAAGCCCATACACTGATTCTAGAAAATTTTATGTATTTCAGGAAATCCAAAGAAAAGGCAAGTTATTTGGAATATGGAGCTCTACTTTGGGAGACTTGGCTGGAACGCAATCGAAACGGTACTGCCTTTCAACAAATCCAAGACAAGATTTTGCAGATTGACAAGCATCGAAAGTATGTATTGTTTTAAATTTGAGAGAACTAATGTGTCAAGCTAACACCACCTCAAGGTTGTGTCAAACTCAACTTTGATAGGAGCTTAATGGGAACCCAAGCCCTACAGGTTTCGGGGGAGTGATTGGAGATTATGAGGTTAATGTTTTGTGGTGCTACTTTGGACCGAAGAGACAACAATTACTCAAAACTTAATGCTTTATGTGTGGACCAGTTTTGTATTGTTGATGGTGATTCCCTTAATGTCATTAATTGGTTTAAGAAGTTGTGGAAACCACCGTGGCATTTGACGGCTCTCTAGCTACAGTTCTTGGATCAAGTGACTGGTCGGGAACTTGATTTTCTCCATATTTATAGAGAATCGAATGATATGGTTAACTCTTTGGCAAAATTAGGCATTAATGCTTCTGAATTTGTAATTGGAAATTCTTTGCCTTGAATTTGTAATTGGCAATCCTTTGCCTATGTAAGTGTATTTTATTGAATTTGATTAATGAAAAACTTATAACCTTGTCAAAAAAAGTTTGGCCAGAGAACTTGCAAGCCCTATATTGATTCGAAGGAAGTCTAGGAAGTTACTGAATCAGTAGTTGATCTATCTTATTTGTCTAATTATTTATACTTTAGAAACTCTTTTTCACTAAAAATAAAATCTATTATCTATTTTTCTATATTTTTGTCACTCTTTTTGATTAACAATGATTCTATCTTTTTCATAAATCAAACCATCAAAAAAAAAAAAAGCATAAAACCAATGACAAAATGCCTCAACATTTTCTATATTTTATCTCCATATGGATTGGATTGTAATTAAGTTGACTAGCTTTATATAGAAAATTAATGAAGTTTGATTGCTGTAATTATTAAGATAGACGAACCAATATCTCTACATTGTTCTGAAGATGGAGTGCATGGGTTTCAAATGCATGAATGAGTTAAGAGTGTTTGTATTGAGCATCATCTCGTTGTCATCCAGAATTATGAAGCTGAAAAACAAATAACAGAAAATTTAGCCTCTTACAGCAACCAAAATATCATCTCATCACTTAAGTCAAAAAAAAAAAACTATAATACTTATGTACTCTATAATTTCAAACTCATACTTTTTCGTTAAGTTTTCTAAACTCGAACTTTTTCATTGAGTTTTCTAAAAGAGAAAATGCAATACCCCACCAAATTGACCAAACTTTCTAGAATATTTAATTTTCTTGGCAAATATAATCATGGAAATATTATCAAATTACCAATAAGATTTGAACAAGTTAACACTTTACCCACATCTTTTGATTTAATTTCTAAATTCCCATAAAAAAATACATGGGAAATAGTTGCCATTGGGCAAAATTTTAAATCCCTAATCTCTTATGCGTTTAAGAGGTTATATCCCTAAAGTTTCGGGTTCTAAATTTTATCCTAGGTGGGGTTTTACTAGAGAGAGTAAATGGACAGTATACTCCCAAGAGAGTATAATATCTTTTGGCTCGATACGAAATTACCAGGAATAACAAGCATCAAAATTTATGACACGTTTTCTACTAAATATCTAATACACATAAGAATAAAAATAAAGTATCAATTATTGCAAATGTAGATT